GGCTCAGGGCTCTGCTCACCCTCTGCCCTGCGCCTATCCCAGCCGGGGCTGCACTGCTGGGATGCAAGGAGCAGCGGTGCCTCTGGCCCCTCCAGCCAAGGCTCCTGTCCTGCCCCAGGACCCTGCGCCCAGCTCCATGCCTCAGCCCCAGCACCCCTGCAAGGAGGGAAGCGAGCAGCCAAACCCACCATAGTCCAAGCCTGCCTGGCTGATCCTCACCACAAAGCCGGGGTTGGCGGCCCTGGCGAGTGCCAGGCACAAAGCCAGTGCCCCGCAAGCCCCGGCCAGGCTCTGCGCTCCCATCCCGGCTGCCCACGGTGCCGCAGTGCCCGGCTCTCCCTGCCCGCGCTGCCTTTATACCCCTGCCAAAACGGGAACCGCGGGTGAGGGAGGCGTCGGAGCCGCTGCCACAGCCGGTGCGGGACGGCCCCGGAGCCCCACAGCTTCCTGCTTGGCCACCGCCCGGCTCCTCTGCACTGCTGGCACCCGTGCCTATGGCACAGCACAGTGTGGCACAGCATGGCACACTGGCTGCATGGCATGATACAGCACAACACAATGTGGCGCAGCACGGCACACCAGCAGCATGGCACAGTGTGGCACATCACGGCACACCAGCAGTATGGCACAATGTGGCACATCACGTCACACCAGCAGCATGGCACAATACGGCACGGCACAATGTGGCACAGCATGGCACAATGTGGCACAACACGGCACACCGGCAGCATGGCCGGTGCCTCTCCTCGCAGGCAGGGAAATCCAGGAGCCAACAGCTCTGTGTCCAGCTCTCCATGGGGCGCAGCCCTGCGGCGGGCAGGGTTTGGCTCTGCCAGCACTGCTCACGGGGCTGTGTTCTCGCTGCCTGCTCTGCTCTGCTCTGCTCTGCCTCTGCCAAGCAAAGGCTGGGAACGGCCCCCGGCCATCCGCCAGCGCTGCCGCCTCCTCACTGCACTCACAGCGCTCGGCTCTGCCCTGGGCTCCAGCTGCTGCTGCCAGCACAGACCCACCGAAGGCACCGGTGTGACCAGAGCAGCGCCGGGGCACAGCAAGGGCTAAAGGAACCAAGTGAAGGTTTCTCATCGCATAGGGGCAGACCCTGGAGTCCCCCCACACCCAGCAAGGCTCTGAAAGGGCTGGGCATCGGCAGCAGCCAAACCATCAGGGTGCCCAGCACAGGGCAGCCGTGCACAGGAGGACACATCCAGCCCACCAGGATCACATCCCAGGGGGAAAACCTGCGGGGCCCTGACATGTCACAGCCCTTGGGCTGGGGATGAGGGCAGGAGCCGGGGGCAGGCAGGGGTAGGGGGCACCCTTGGGGTCCCCAGCAGGGAGAGCCGAGCCGGCCGGACCCTTGCATGGGCTGTGGGATGGAGCTGAGTGAAAAAATGATTTAAGTGACTTTCATTTCCCATTGGGGGGGCGGCAGGGGCAGGCACAGGAAGCCCATGGCCGCTGATGCAGGCACATCTTGTGCTGCATCCAGGGGAGTTCTGGCTGCTGGAGGAAACATCCCTGAACAAGCGCTTGTGAAACGCAGCTATTGCTCAAGCCCTCCCGTCCATGGCACCACGTCTCAGCAGGGCTGTTTCAAAACAGTATTAAGACATTCGGGATGAGCATTGAGGAAGCAGAGCCTCTTCCATGAGGAGAAATGAGATTTTATAGGCAGCGGCACGGAGGAAGCAAAACCAGAAAGTTTCCTTCTGGGTCTGAGATTATTCAACTGAACCAAAAACCCATTCAAGGAGCACAGACCCTGAGCAAATGCTCCCGTGTTTGGACAGGAACGGCCAAAGCCACATCTAACGCTCGCTGCACAGGCTGGACCTGAGTGCTTTGTGAGCAGAGAGCTGAGTGTGAGCTGGGCTCTATGTGCAGGAAAGGGCCATGAGATGGGAGCGAGGGCAGGGAGCTGCAGGATGCTCCCCTTGAGTGCCACCGGCTGCCCCCCGTCAGGCTGTCCCCTGCCCCGGCTGCAGGTCAGGACCCACTCTGCTGTCCCCTGTCCCCACGTCAGGGCTCGCTCCAGCCCCACACGCTCCTTGGCACGTGCGGGCAGTTCCTGGTCCTGCCCACAGCTCTTTCCGCATCTCTGGTGTGATGCAATGGCCCAAACCACGCTGCACCCTGTGCTGGGCTCTGCCCCATCGCCAGTGCGGGTCCCTGAGCTCACCGCCTCGAGCCCCTTCCATGAGAGCACCCAGCAAGGGCTGGCAATGGGCACATTGGCCTTCAGGAAGGAAAGCAGCCACATCCGCTTCCTGCAGTGCCACAGCCGGCCTGGGCATTCCCCAGGGATGGGCAGTGGGTGCTGGTGGCATCGCTGTGGCCTGAGGCTGCCAAACACCGCAGGGGAAAACCTGGGGCCTGGGCAAGGAAAGCGAGGGCCTGGGCTGGATGGGGAGGACCCTGGGAAAGAGAAGTCCACAGCCAGAGATAAAACCTCCCCCGCTCATCGCCAGCCAGGACGAGCTCGGTGGCAGCCACAGCACCGGGCCCTGCCCTGTGGTCTGCTCTGTGGCTGCCCCAGACCGCGGGGACTTCACCGATGGAATCCCGTCAGCACCGGGCCCGCTGCCAGCCCCGCGGGGCCCGGCTCCCTTTGATCCGGCAGCATCCGAGCAGAGCCGGGGCCGCCGCTGATGTTTTCCCAGCTGCAGGATCACCGTGACCCAGCCCCGAGGGCTCTGAGCCAGCGCGGGGTCGCTGCTGACGCCAGCCCTGACCCCTGCCTGCATCGGGACCAGGCAGCCGGGAACGCCCCGGACCCGGGAGCGCTCCGAGCCGCAGCTCTGCGGGGCACAGCACATGAGGGTGCAGCCCCGAGGTCCCAGCGGGAGCCCAGCGCCAGGGTCCATCCCCAGTGCCGGGCTCGGCCCCCTGCCTCCACCGCGACATCCTGGGGTACCCCCACAGCCGCTGTATCCTGTCCCCCCCGAGCGCTGCCGTCAAGCCCAGACAGGCGGGCTCCTCACGCAGCTCGTGACACGAGGTCTGCTCTGGGAGCCTCGTGGGACACAAAAGGGGATGCAGGGAGCGGGGGGGGATCTGCAGCAAGTAAAAATGAAAATGCAGGAATGGTGACCTCGGGCAGAGCCGGGGGGGTCTGAATGGTGGCTGTGTGCTGGCGGAGGAGCAGGGCACGAGGCCACATGCGGTCTGAGCCTGCAGCTGCTCCGGACAAACAGGACATGGAGAAAGGGAGCAGAAGAGGGTGAGCTCATGGGGTCAGGGCCCGGGAGGCCCATGGGAGCTCTGCCTTTTGCTAGGGAGAGCTCAGTCCCCAGCACACACACAGCTCAGTCCCCCACCTCCAGGCTTTGCTGTGTCTGGGTGGCAGGAGGAGCTGCTTTGGGGTGCTGCAGGGATGCAGAGCTGGACTTAGTCACACTGGGTGCATTTGCAGGGTGCCTCAGTCAAGCATAGCCCAAACAAGGCACCCCGTGGTGCAGGCAGGGATGTGCTGCCATCAGGCACACACAGTGCCAGGGTGGTGTGGTCCCTGGGGCTCAGGTTCACATCCTTCCCCTCCTACTCACCGGTGCTGCAGAGGGACCCTACCTGCCAGTCCGGTGCCAGACCTGGCCAGTCACACTGCCTTCCTCTGTCCACAGCCTCCTCACCCAGCCCCAGTGCCCAGCAGAGGGGCGCAAGACAGGGCAAGCTCTTGGGCTCATTTCTCCAGTGGCCACACAAATAAGGGCAGCAGAAGCCCATGCTCCTCTCAGCCAGGGATTATGAAGGCTGAAGCAGAGTAAGTGAATTAACACAGTTAAAGGAGCAATTGGTCACTGGGAGAGAGGGAGGAGCTGGCCCAGCAGGCCCCAGTTTGCATTAGGGGTCCCAGGCAGGCAGCTTGGACCGGGTTTGAGCCAAGGGGCTGCACAGTGCCCATGGGTCTGGAGCTGGTGGTGGGCTGCAGCCCCACTCCCATGGCTCCCACCGGCACAACCACTGATGCCTGAGCCCCGGAGCACTCGTGACCTGGGGAGGGAGCACAGGGCTCCACTGGCTCCCAAGGAAATGGGAAGCAATCGCAGGGTGCTGGCGCCGAGCTCCGTCCGGCTGGGCCAGCAGCGCATCTGGACCTCCTCCCGTCTCGCCGTGTTTGCACAGCCTGTCCTTTGGCTGCGCGCTGCTCCATGGACAAGCGCTCCTTATCCAGACTGCCCCAGCGGGCCATGCTGTGGCCATCCCACCCACCCCTGGTCCCATCCCTGGTCCCATCCCTGGTCCCATCCCAGACCCAGTTATGACGGGGGGAACGTCCAGCCCAAGCTGTGCGAGCAGCGGCGCTTTGCATCGGGATAGACCAGAGCTGTGGCTTTGGCTCTTGCGCTGGTTGTTTTTGTACAATTTCTGGCCGCTAAAGCACACGGTTCTGCCTCCGAGGAGGTACTTTCCATCGCTGGAACAGCCCAAAAAGCCGTCAGAGCCACTTTGAATCTGCTGCGCTTTGGGCCAACTGCGGAACGCGAGCTGCGAGCAGTGATTTGAACACAGACCAGCCCCGATGGTTCCCATCAGCACCGGCCTGTGTTTGTTTAACGAGCGGGACCCGCCGAGCCCTGACGCCCACTTGTGTGCGCACACTCACGCACCCGCAGCTCTGTGCTCTTCCCGGTGCTGGGAAGGATCCCGGGAGCCGGAGCTCCCCCCCCCCCTCGGGGGTCCTACACATTCCCCCCGCTCCCCGATCCCACCAGGGGACGGAGCCGCAGCGGCTCCCTCCCCATCCTGCCCGGGGCCACCGGCGGGGTCCGGGGGGACCCCATGAGGAGCCGCCTCCTCGGTTGTGCTCCTCGGTCCCCCCGCTCCCCCCGGGCCGGGGCAGCCCCTCCCCCGCTCCGCCCCGCGCTTTCTGCGCCTTTTCTTTCCTTTTCTTTCTTTTTTCCCTTCTTTTTTCCCCCAGAAGGGGCGCGGCCGGAGCCGGCCTGGGCCGGGGGGGCCGGGGAGGGGGGACCGGGGCTGCCCGTCCCCGCCCGCAGCGCGGGAGGAGCCGCCGGGGGAGCGGCGAGCGGCAGCACCGGGCCGGGGGACACCGGGCTGGGGTCAGCGCTCGGCCCCGGCGAGGACCAGGGAGGGGACGGCGGGTGCCCGGCCCCTCCGCCGCTTCCCACTCAACATGGTAATTCCTTCTCTTTTCCTATCCTTCCCCTTGCCCTGCCCCGAGAGAACCCACGGGACCCTATGAGCATCCACGGGCACCCATGGGCCATGGCCTTTCCTGAGCTATGGGGCCACTGGGGCAGGGCACATGTGGGTGGCATCCTGGGATGCTTGAACACCCCTGTGAAGTTTGGCTGGGGAATGGGGTGCAAGAAGCAGGTGCTACCGTGTGAACCATGCCCGGTGTGCAGCTACAGGATGCTCAGTGGATCCCAGGGCTTGTTTGTCCCCATTGCTGTGGGCTCATGGGTGATGCTGTGCTGGGCTTGGGGGGTCGATAGCATTCACTGTCTGCATCGTGCCCTGCCAAAGTTGCTGCCAGTGAGAGCTGTGGGAGAGCCAGAGGAATTGTTATTCAGAGCTGGTCTCAACACTCAAACCTCGCTCCTTCCTGAGAGGAGGGAGAAGGGGGATGGAGCTGAGTCACCCCATGCATGAGTTAAGCAACTTTCCAGCACCAGAACACCAAAGCTGGGCTGGCCTTGTTGGTGCAAACCACTTTAAAAATATGGGTATTTGGGGAGAAATATCAATCTCTATTTAACAGCACTTTGGCTTATTAAAATGGAAATAGCTTTGCAAATGTAAATCTCCTTATGCTTCCTAATGCCTTTTGTTTCGGTTCCGCGCTCGCTCGCAGCTGGTGGAGGGACCTGGGCTGATGGCTGTTCTGGTTGGTCTGGATTTCCAGTGCTCCCTGGCAGACTGGGGCCTGGCATCTCCCACCATGGTTCCCCCTCAAGCCTCCCCCTGTGGTGAAGTGCTTTGTGACACTCAGGGAACATTCCTGATCATTCCAGGCCAAGCAGTTCCCCAGCACAACCCAGGCTGTGTCTGGAGCCTCCATCAGCCCCCAGCTCCTTCCTGACGCTGGCTCACGCAGTCCCCGCTGCTGGATGAAGTCCTGGGCGGTTTTGTTCCATGGGCAAGGAAGCGGCTTTGTTGGCTCAGTGGATCCATCCTCCGCATGCTGTGGGGTTCTGGTCATGGTTTGGAAGATCCTTTTTCCCCTGCAGTGGGGCTGTCCCCTCCCCTGGCACCCCCAGTTCCCTTTACCCAAGGCAGGGGACCAGGGAGCTGGGATGCACATGCTGAGGCCAGGGAGGATGCTCAGGGTTTGAGGGGCCAGTGTCAGCAGAGATGATGGGAGTGGGTTGGGGCAGCTGGCAGTATGTGCCTTTGCCCCATCAGACCATGGCTGAGCTGTGAATGGCCAGGTTTGGGGCTGCCCATCACCCCGTGGTGCAGCCTGCCCTGAGCAGAGTTCCTGGCTTTTCCTTCTGGTTTTATTTGCTTTATTATCAGTGCCATGGGAGTTTGGTTTCAAGAGAGCTGGTTCTGTGCGTGCCAGGGCTGTGTATGGGTGAGCCTGGGCAGGGCAGGGCAGGCAGGGCTGGCTCATCTCCTGGGCAGCATTAGGAGCTGGATGGGTCACTGCGGATGGTGACCCTGCAGAGGCAGAGCTGGGAGCTGGGCTTTACCCTGCAGTGGGGCTGTTCCAGAGCCAGGCCTCCAGTCCCTGCTGGGAGCTGTGCAAGGCAAGAGCAAGCATGAGAAGACCAATGGTCCAACAGCCACCAGCCTGCCAGGGGAGTCCACTTAGAGCCCATGGCCCTAAGAAGGGGCTTGCTCTCCTCCTGCTCTCCCACCAGGCCCAAGGGCAGGAGATTCCTGCATGGAGACTCAGAGAAAAAGTCAAGAAGAATTATCCAGAGCATGACTGCAAAGTGCTTTAGTTAAAGCTCATTAAAGCTAATTAAGCTGAATTAACCGGGGCCACTATCTCTGTGTGGGCTCACAGGCCAAGGATTAGCTGCCTGAAACTAATGCTCACCTTTAGCTCATCCCACCTTCAGCTCATCCCACCTTCCCACACCAGAGTGCAGCAAGCTGTTCTCCACTGTTCAATGCAGAGCCCACCCCAGGAGATGGGCTCGGCTGTGCTGTGACTGCAGCCAGTGGCAGAGCTGGTGGCTCCCTGGTACTCCACAGGCAGATGCTCTGTACCACATGCCATGCTCTGCAGGAGGAGGAGGATTGGTGTCCCACTGCAGAGGGGCAGATCCGCATCCAGCCAGGCTGGCCCTGACCCTGCTCCACACAGACCTGCACCTCTCCTGCTGCAGCTCCACTTCCAGCACCGGCACCGGCACCGGCACAGCAGGTTTGTTGTGTGTTGGAGCCTCTCCTGCAGACATAGTGGCCAAGGAGCTGGAGGAGCCTCTGTGTGTCCCGTGGCTCATTTCAGCAGCCCTGTGTGTGTCTGCACTCACCCAGCACTGCCTGCAGTGATGCTGGGGTTTAACGGGAGCCGGCTGATGGCTCCTCCACACACTGGCTGCGCCAGCCGGGTCTGCACGGCCGATGTCTCCTGCAGGGCTGGGAGAGCCAACTTGGAGCCCCCAGTTTCCAGATGGCACAAAGCAGTGTCCTCATCCTCATCCCAGTCTGGGAGTGCAGGGAGGGGGCTGTGACCCGGCAGAGCCATTCCCAGAAAAAGCCTGGAGGACCGATGTGGAGTTTGGTGAATTCAGTGATGAGCCTGAACCGAAACACCCAATCCATCTTCCCATGTTTGTCCTTCCTCCATCTGCTGCATTCCTGCAGCACGCTGCTGAGCCCGGCACATCCCCAAGCTCTGCTCTGCGTCTGGCTCAGATTAACCCCTTGGCTGCTGCGGCTCCTCCGCCTCCGCATGGCTCTGTTCCCAAGCTCCTTTCTCAGGCTCCTTAAACCACAGCCCGGCGCTGGGAACCAGACCCGGCCGTGCTCCTGCCCCTGGGCTGTGCAGTGCTTGGGGTGCTCCACGCCCGGATCATTCCCAGCTTCCAGCACAGGAAGGTTTGGAGCCCCCGAGCTCAGCACGGTGCCGGTGTGGGCACAGAGGGACCCGGGCGAGGCGCAGCGCACGGGATGGTGGGCACGGGCTCTGTGGGGTCAGTGTCCCATTGCGGGGCTGCTGTCCCCACTGGTGACACTTCCCTCCCGCAGGATGCCGGCTCCCTGGATGCAGCAGTGCAGGGCGCCCTCCAGGCCCTCTACCCGCCCTTCGACGCCACGGCCCCCACGGTGCTGGGGCAGGTCTTCCGGCTGCTGGAGACCAGCTACCAGGGTGATGGGCTCTGCTGCCTGCTCCAGTTCCTCATCCCAGCCAAGCGCCTCTTCGAGCACATCCGGCAGGCAGCCTGCGTAAGCCTGTGCACTCCCTCTGCATCTCCCCTCCTGTCCCCGTCCCCTCCCTAAAGGGCACCATGGTGCATCCAGCTCCCTGGGATGGCTCCGGCACTGAGCTCCTGTAATAGGGGCAGAGGGACTCTGGGGTCACCTTGTCTCTGGAGAGGCTCTGGCAGAGGTTTCCCCTCTGTTAGCACATGGGGAGCACACAGCACCGGGTGGGCTTGCAGGGCTCTGCTATGGCTCAGCCTAGGGATATCCCATTGGGTCATGGGGCTCATCAATCCCCCTCATGGAACTGCAGAGCTGGGTAGGGAGAGTGCATGGGGCTGGCTGGGAGGGTCTGGAGCTCTCGCTCACGCGCTGTGTTCTTCCTCCCTGCCAGGCTCCCTACTTTAACTGCATCTTTCTCCATGAAGGCTGGCCCTTGTGTCTGCACGAGAAGGTGGTCGTGCACCTCGCGCCGCTCAACCCGCTCCTGCTGCGCCCTGGGGACTTCTACCTGCAGGCAGAGCCATGCAAGGAGCACTCGGCGCGCATCGTCCTCAAGCACCTCTCCCAGGACCTGTGCACCGTGGAGGAGATGCCGGTCCCCGAGGCTGCCTACGCGCTGCTCTTCACCAACGAGTGGCTGGAGGAGATCAACGGCGGCCGGGCCGGAGCCCCCCTGCAAACCTGCCTGGTGGCCACCGAGAATGGCATCGCCCCGCTGCCGTGGAGCAGCATTGCCACACCGGAGTTCATCGACAAGCCCAAGGCTGGAGCTGATGGAACACCTGTGGACACCCAGCATGACCCTGCTTCTGAAGCTGCAGCTGAGCCAGCAGCACCCAGTGTGCCCGTGCCCTGTGGCACAGCAGGCATCCCCGTGCCCTATAGCAACGTCGTGGGCACCATCCCAGGCTGCAAGGGCACCTCTCGGAAGCTGAGCCAGGGAAAATACCCGGGACTGATCAAGGTGGACCAGGCTGGGCTGCGGAAGAAGCCGAGCGCGCTGGCCATGCCCAGCCTCTGCGAGATCATCAGCCAGAACCTGGAGGGGGAGTACGTGGACCTGCTGGAGCTGGCCCCGGAGCACATGGGCCTCCTGGCCAGGTCCCTGCCGGCGGGCGCTGGGGACAAGGCTGCGCTCCCCTGCCTGAACGGGGCCCCCTGCGGGGCAGCACAGAGCTCGGGGGAGGGTCCCTGCACCCCGTGCCTGGGGCAGGAGCTGAGCAGGGAGCCGGGGCCACACGGGCCACGGTGCCGCCACCGCGACTCGTACCTGGCCGCGCTGCAGAACCCGGTGAGCTTCGGGGCCGGGCTGATGGCAGCCATCCTGGAGGAGCCGGACGGCCCCGGCCCCGAGCCGCCCCCCGCTGCTCCCCGGGAGACCCCCGCGCAGCGCGGGATGGGCGGCGGCAGCCCCCCGCTCCTCACCCCCCGAGCGCAGGCAGCGGCGCGGCAGAGCAGCCCCCGGCTGCCCCAGGGCTCCGGCCACAAGTTCTCCTTCCTGAAGGGGCCCCGGCTCGGGGCGGCCCCCGGGGATGAAAGAGCCGGCAGCCAGCAGGAAGGGGCCTGGAGGAAGATGTCTGCCATCTACTCGCCCAGGATGGGCAGAGCCAAGGCAGGCGGGAAAGGTACCCTCCGAGCAGGGCTGTGGGACCTGTGCAGGGGCACTGCATTTCCCTGCCTCGTTGCACATCGTCAGCTCCTCTCCTCTGTCCCCATGGGCAGGTTCGGATGCGGCAGCCCCAGCCCCTGCGGAGGAGCGACCCATGGAAAGCTCCAGCTCTAAGAATGGTCCCTCCATGCCCAGCACCAGCACCAGCACCAGCACCGTGGGCTGGGAGCCGCCGGCCTGGCAGGACCTGCACACGGGGCTGCTGCACTCGGGCATCGTGTGCCTGCCAGGTACCGCCAGCACCGCGACCCGTGGATGTCGGGATTGGGCTCCAGAGGGAGAGCACCGAGCTGCCCGAGGGGGGTCCTGGGGCTCTGCTGGAGGCAGAGGGACCCCGGGGGGGAATCTTCTGTCAGCTGGGCAAAAAGAATGAGACCCATAAAAACAAGCAGCCTGCTTGGAGCAGCTGCCCCGTCCCCAGCTGCACCGAGCCCTCCCACACCATTCCTCTCCAGTGAAGCCGCTCAGCTTGAGCTGCCAAGCACTAAACATTTGGCTTCTCCCTCTTCCCAAGAGCCAGAGAACGGTGACAAACCCGTGTTTCCTTCGGGAGGAGCAGCCCCGGCAGCTCTGCCCTGGCGCTTCCAGGGCTGGTTCCTGCCGAGAGCCCTCCGGAGGGCTGGGGTGCGGGGGCTGCTGCTGACCCCCGAGCCCGGGCAGGGCAGAGCCCGCTCCTGCAGCCATCGGCAGCCCCGGCCCCTCGGGCTGGAGCCTGCAGCGGCTCCGGGGGGGTCACGCTCCCCTTTCCCCGCAGGCAGCTCGGACCGGCAGGGCAGGGCCCTGCTCCTGGTGACCACCGGCGGCAGCGCCTGGGGGGCCGCCTGGTGCTCGGCTGCTGAGCTGGGGACGCTCATCCTCTACCTCTGCTCCATCGCCAGGTAAGGGCTGGGGGAGCTGCCATGGACCCCCCGCCTGCTCCCCGGCTCAGGGTCCCGGGCAGCCCCTGGCCAAGCCGGGCTGGATGCCCAGCATCCGGCATGTCCACACAGCCCCTCCTGCAGCCACCCGCAGGGACCCTGTGCAGTGCCTCTATGAGGTCTGGCCCTGCCCTCGGCTCAGGCATCCCACAGGGACAAGGCCATTGCCTGTGGCTGCCGGTTCCTGCCTGCCCAGAGCCGTGGGACCGGGCTTAGAGTGGGTCCTACCTGAGGACTTCGTGTGCTGCCTCCTGCTTTGTCTCCCCTTGCCAGGCAGGACATGAAGGACGTCGGGCTGACCGTCGTGGTGGATGCCCGGAAGCAGCCGCCTGCTCCTGTCCTGTTCTCTGCCCTCCGCTCTGCCCAGGTGCTCCATGCTCCACACTCCCACGCACAGATGTGCTGGGGGGGGGGGGTCCGTGCCTGGGAGCCAGTGCTGCTCGGGGGCCCTGTGCTGTCTTGGGGCTGTGGGTCCTCCCTGCCAGGGCACCCTTTGCCTCTGTGTGCTCAGGGCTTGGCTGCAGCCTGCCCAGTGAATCCCACACCAGCCCCGATGCTCCCTGTGTGCAGAAGCATCACTGGTGCAAGCAAAGGTCTTTGCTCACAAGGCTCTTGCTGTGGGTCCTTTCTGCCAGGGAGCTGGTGGCTGGGACAGGCTGGGACAGGGTTATGGCCCGAGCTGGGACAGGGTTATGGCTGGGACAGGGTTATGGCTGGGACAGGGTTATGGCTGGGACAGGGTTATGGCCCGAGTGACTCGTTTCCATTCCCCACACCAGTGAGCTCGGGAGCCTTTTCCTTTGTAACTGACTCACCAGCCTCAACTTGGGCAGCCCCATGGGGTTTCTCATTTGAGGTGGTAACTTCCCCGCAGAGCATCTCGCCGGGCTGCATCCACACCGTGCTGCTGCTGGCCGAGAAGGAGCTGGTCACGCACCGCGAGAAGCTGCCCGGGGTGCAGGTGAGCCTCTGCCTGCCCCCTCCTCCTGTCCCCACCTTGACTCCTGTGGGAAGAGCAGAGCGAGGTCAGTGGAGCCTCCTGCCACAGGGGATCCTCTGTCCCTTTACCCAGAGGCCCCAGTTCCCAGCTGGGGGACCCCAAACAGAGCAGCACCTCGGTGGGGCTTGTCCCTCCATGGGGTTTGCAGTAGGCAAAAGCTGTCCCAGGGCAGCCAGTGCCTTCCCTGTTACCTCCAGGGCCTGGGCACAGGTGCTGGGATAATAAACCTAAACTTGGAAGGGTTTTTATTCTTTTAGTGCTGCTCGGGTTAATGAATGTAATGTGAACTATTACTGAGTGAGATCGCCTGGCTGCGCTGTCGTGGCAGGTTACTGTGGTCCAGCGATCTCCCGTGCATTCAGACACTATGGAGAGGCCGGGGCATGCTCTGAGTGGAGCAGGGCCAACCTGCTGGTTACCAGGACAGGGTGCTGAGGGCAGGAGGGGCTGTGCCCCTGCTCCAGGCTGCCCCTGGGGGTGTCCCTGTGTCGGTCCCGCAGCGCTCACCAGCCCTGTGCCCGCAGGTGGAGTCGCTGCCGTCGCTGAAGGCTCTGGGCCGCTTCGTCGACAGCTCCCAGCTGACACCGGAGCTGGACGGGGCCTTCCCCTACAGCCACGGCGAGTGGGTGCAGTTCTTCCAGGTGTCTGTTTCCACGCTATGAGCCACAGCCTCACCTCCCCGCAGTGCCCCTTGTCCCCACCCCTCACCCCCGCCACCGCTTCCATGTCTCACATCCCTGGAAGTCAATGGGAAAGCCCACGAGAGGGGAAGGGAAAGGAGAGCTCTGAGTGCAGAAGGGCAGCCCCCTCCTGCCTGCAACTGCCCATCAACCTCCACTCTCCCTTCCTCCTTGGATTTAACCCAGTGCCCCACGGCGTTCCCTGCTCTGGCCTGGCACTGCTCCTTCTCCTCCTCACAGGCAGGCTGCCCCATGCCCGCCCCACTGACCTGCTGTGTGCACCCACAGAAACTGCATCCCTTCACGGCCAGCCTCCGGCGGGCATCGGAGCTGCTGCAGGGCTGCATCCAGGAGCTGCGGAGCGGCAACGCGCTGGTGGTGACACAGGTAAAAGAGGGGATGCAGGCAACGGCGGGATGCAGCACTGCAGGATGCAGTGCCCATCTGCAGTCCAACACAGCCACATTTCACCACAGTTGCTCAAAACTCAGTGCAACCGCTCCCAGAGCAGCCATGGGGAAGTCCCTGTCCCTTTTGCTGGTCCCTGCATGGGATGGGAGCCGCTGCACCCCAGGTGAGAGCGTGTCCAACCTTCCCTTGCAGGATGCAGGCGCCTGCATCGGGAGGCACCGGGAGCTGATGCGGAGGGTGCTGAGCGATGCGCCGCTGGTGTGGGTGCAGCGGGAAGGGGGGGCCGTGCTGGCCCGGCTGCGCAGGGAGGCCGCCCGGCTCCGCACCTCGGCCCACGTCAGGTAGGACGGGATGGATCCACCTCGGAGAGCGGCCAGCGCCGGGGACCCCGCTGCCTCCTGGCTGCGGAGCCCCCGCCACAGGAGCCCCGTGTCCCCGGGAGCTCCGGCTCCTTCCCAGCCCGTGCTCCCTCCTGCCCTGCAAGCTCGTGTCTGGGACCGCCCTTTGCGGGCTCTCCCGTGCCCCCCAGCGGAAGGTGCCCGGGTCCTGGGCTCCTGCCCCGGGGCCCGCAGCGGTTCCCGCAGGCTGCTCTCGGGCACAGCCGCTAGATGGGGCCAGGGCTCGGCGGTGCGGCTCACGGCCGGCAGCGGTAACGCCGTGCTCCTCCTGCGCCCTTCTCTCACCGGGGCGCGGGCAGACAGCGCTTTCCCATCCCATGTTCCCATCCTTCACCTTGCTCCATGGGTAGGGAGACGTCAGAGCACGTGAAAGGCGCTCCTGGTGTGCGGGGCTGGAGATGCTGCCCAGCACATAGCTGGGGGTGTCCTCATGCCGTAGGTGGGCTCCAGGGATATGCATGGCAGGAGATCCATGGTGGGCTCCCAACCCAGGCACCTGCCGGCATCTCTCCATCTGCACATGCTGGGTCATTGCACATCTGATCCCAGCTTGCCACATGGCCACATGCCCGCTCCCAGGAGCTGCCCCATCCAGAGTCCTGCCCACCGGCAGCCCCAGCACTGATGGCCCCCTCATCCCCAACCGCCAGGACCAGCATGGAGTCGGCCGAGGCGCTGTACAACCAGCTGGAGGAAGAGCTCCATGACCTGGTGTTCCAGTCCAACAGCTCCCTGGAGCGCCTGGAGTTCCTGCGGAAGGTGCGGGAGCTGGAGGCCGAGTTCAGCAAGGTGAGGTGGGCGTCCCTGCGGTCCTGCTCTGGGCGCAGCGGGATGCATTGTCCTCTGCGGTGTGCCCGCAGCTGAGCACTTTGGGCTCGTTTCCCTGGGGTTTGCTGGTGAAGGAAGCCCGGAGAACAACAGCATTGCCTGAGCTGGGATTTTCATTCGGGGTGACAGGGGCGGGATGCTCCGGCGGGGAAGGAAGGGGAGGCGCTGCCTGACCCCGCTCTCTCTTGCAGCTGGGGCTGTGGCTGGACGGGGAGGCAGCGGCGCGGCTGCAGGAGATGGGTGCTGAGGAGTGGAGCCCCGAGAGCTTCCTGGGGTCTGACGAGCGGTTCAACGCGTTCCTCACCCAGGCAACAGTATGTTCGAGGGGGCTCCCTGGGGCAGCGCTGCCGCAGCTCCGGGCCCTGCCTGCTGCTGGGCAGACACCAATCACCAATCAGAACCATCTGAATGTGGTGACAAAGCTCGATAGGATGAGCCCAAGTCCCCCGGCTCCGGCAATCCCGGCTGTGCCCAGGCTGCCCAGGTGGAGGCCAAGCTGCAGTTTTCAGGCCCCACTTTGCCAGGGTCTTTGTTCCAGTGAGAGGGGAGCTCTGTGGCTCCTTGGTGCGCTCTGCGCTGGGGTTGCTGTCCCCAGCCCCTGCCGTGCCCCATCCTTCACAGCCCCCTTCATCTCACAGAGGCTGGGTGCCCATCAGGCAGCAGGGAATGTGTGACAGGCATTTGTTCATCCCATAGCCTGCATGCACCGCAGGGAGGAGGAGGCAAAGTGACTCCCCTCAGGACAGGGCGATGCACTTGGTGCGTTCTGAGGCGAGCAGAGCTCAGGCTCAAGGCCAGAGCTCAGATCCGCTCAGGACAGAGCAGAGCTCAGGCTCAAGGCCAGAGCTCAGATCCGCTCAGGACAGAGCAGAGCTTTGGAGAACCTGGTTCTTTTTGCTTCTCACTTGCCCAGAGACACTTGCAGTGCGGCCCTGGTACTGACACCAGCTGATCTTCACCATCTCCATCCTGCTCGCCCTCCCCATCGTGGGGTCAGCGCCATTCCCGAACACGGAGCTTGCTCTTTCCTCGTGTCCCTGCAGGCTCAGTACCGGCACGGCCTGGCGCTGTGTCAGGAGGCAGCTGAGGTCCAAGGCGCGGCTTTCCCAGAGGCCGCCCTCTTCCAGGCGGCCGTGGCCCTTTTCCGGACGAAGCTGAGGAGCTTCCAGAGGCAGGTGGAGCGGCGCCAGGCGGAGCGGGAGCTGCTGCGGGACCTCGGGTGCTTCTCCAGCAAGGTGGGAGCTGGGGCTCTGCTGCGGTGGGAGCCGGCGCCGTGGCGCAGCCCTGGCATGGCCACGCTCCCCTTCTGTTCCAGATGGCGGGGCTGAAGCTGGGCTGCGGGCAGTGCCTGGGCCGGGGGAAGCGCGAGGAGGGCCGGGCGCTGCAGGGGCTGCAGAGCTCCTTCCAGAAGCTCTTGGTGGAGTTCGCCCTGGAGAAGCTGCAGGAGATGAAGGCTCAGGTGCGCCGGATGCGGAGCAGCCCAGGGCTGGCAGCCTGGACCGAGGCACGGCGCCGGTACCAGGAGACGCGGCAGGTCCTGGAGGAGATGCTGGCACAGCTGCAGGAGGCCTGGGGAGCTGAGGGGCACGGGGACTCCTTCAGCTGCCCCGGCTCGGGGTCTGCTGCCCCTTGCGAGGGAGCTCCGGGCACCAGCCCTGAGCCAGCGGTGCCAGGGGAGCAACCGGAGCCCGGTGCCGGGACAGGACAGCCCCGGGCCAGCACCGCTCCCAGCCCCTCACCGGGTGCGGAGCCAAGCTCCCCGCAGCCCCGCAGCCATCAGGGGCCAGAGGGGGCTCCTGCCTCTCACCACTGCCCCTCTGCCAACACCAACCCCGAGAGCGGAGCCTGCCCGGGCGCTGCAGGACCCCTCACCCACAGCATCCGGACCCTGCAGAGACCTCCCCTCACAGTGCCAGCCCGGGCGCGTGTTCCAGGCGCTGACCCCCCGTGTCCCCCGGCTCTGCCCCACGGGGCTGTCACACGTGCTCCATCCGCCCAGAAGCGGGCAGAATACTTCCAGGTTTCCAGCCAGAGCAGCTTCTCCTCTGAAGACTCCGACTCGCAGAACTCCACCGAGGATGCTCCAGCACCGAGCCTGGCCTTGTCCTGGGACCTGCAGAGCCCAAGACCGCGTTGCCCCCCCGAAAAGCCCTCCCAGATCATTTACCTGGAGAACCACCACGCCGAGAGTCCACCTAAAGCGAATGCCAAGTAAACCCGGTCCCAGTCGGGGCTGTTTCTGCCCAGTGGCTGAGGTATCGGTCACTGGCTGGATGGGACATCCCATGCTCGGAGGTGGGGCTGCTGCTGCTCCAGCATCCTTCAGTTTCCTGTACTTCAGTTCCCCTCACCCCACCGTGGTGCCGCACTGACTCCATGGCTACGAGGTCTGTTAATACTCTACTAGCTGTGTAGTAACCCTCACCTAAAGTGCCCTTATCCCTACAAGCAGCTCCTGGAACAGCGGTTCCCCGCAGGCAGGAGCCAGGCCTGGAGCATCCGTGGGGAGCACAGACGTGGGCTGGGGTCCCCTGACCCCACCACGCTCTGCCGGGCAGTTTGCCTGCCCCTGCACCGCTGCTGCAGCCCCGGCCAGGTGACAGCAACCGGCGTTGTGTGCGTGTGCTCTCGTTAACATGGGACTAACGATATTAACGCTAATAAACCTGAAGAGAAGCGCCCGGCGTGGTCCTTGTGTCCTGCCGAGAGCCAGGCACTGCGCTGCTCGCCCGGGCTCCTGCTGCTGCCCCAGTGCCAACAGCAGCCAGGGCCATGGCAAAGCCTCCTGGTGCCGCCACGCAGCTCTGCCTCTGCTGCCAGCATCCTGCTGCCGGCTGCAGGGATGCTGCTGCTCACACCGCTGCTGGCTCATCCAGGCCCTGCCTGGGGTTAAATGGGGGTTAAATGGGGGTTAAATGGGGGTTATGGGGGTTAAATGGGGGTTATGGGGGTTAAATGACTCCGTCTCCCATTCTCGCTCCCATCCTACCCCCTCCCCAGTACATGTGAGGGTGGTGTCTCCTTCCCAGCCTCCCCACTCGCTGGGAACGTGCTGTCCCAGAGCCTTGGGGGATCTGGCTGAGCTGGGAGCGACTTCATCGATCCATCACCATCCAAACCAGCCCCAGGTCCCTGGGGATCCCAGCCCCCCAGTGCATCCCGCCTGGTTGGGCTGGGATGCTGGGCTGGGGACAGGCTGTGCAGGCCAGGGTTAGCACATCATGAGCTAATCGAGGACACTGGAGAAGAAGCAGCATCTCCTGCAAAGGCCACTGCAGGAAAACACCCCTCCTCCCAGCCACAGCACAGCCATGGCTCGGGGCCCTGTGTGATGCTGCTCCTCGGCAAAGGGCTCTTGCCCATCCCAGTGTTTGTGAGCATCACTCATACCCCCCTCAGCCTTGTTTGTGCCAGATCTCCAGGCCAAGCCCCGCTGAGCTCCCCTCAGAGGCTGCAGTCCCAGCACCCCGAAGCCTGTTCTCCTGCCTAGGTCATTAGCACACTGTTAATGAAGGCTGATCCCAGCTGCTCCCCAGCCCCTCACCTCTCCCCGTCCTACTCACTCTCTGCTCTTTGCTCCTTACAGCTCTTTTAAACTCCATCTTCTCCAGCACAAGCCCCAGTTTCCCTGGCAGCACTTCCATCACTGCTTGACTGAAACCCCAGTGTCTGAGTCCCGTGCCATCCACCTGAGCATCGCTGCTCCCCATCCCCACTCCATCCACGTGTCCCTGCTCCCCATCCCCACACACACTGGTGAAATCCGTGCCCATCTGGATGGCACGCACCTCACTGCAAGAGACAAGTCTGTTCTACCTCCAAAAGCATTTAAATCCCAGCCTGGCAGTTCCCTCACTCCATTTTCTGCTCTTCCAGCAGCTGATGTGCTCTATCATCCCATTACACTCTCACCTCTGCAGTGTGCTAAAGCAGCAGCACACCTCCAAATTCCTCTTTGGACACCAACTCTCTTCTGGCATTTCACAGAAACCCTTGGCTTTGGAAGGCCTTGTTAGGGGCTGAGCTCAGCCCCTGTGGCCAGCACAGCACACACACCCCAGCCGGGACCTGTGCCGGTGCCGTGCCGGGCTGGACATGCCATCCATGTTAACTCCTGTCCCTGGGAATAGGGTGGCCATGCTGGTGAGGGGCTGCATCAGCTCACCCAGCACCAGTGCGGGGAGCATCCCTCCCGCTGCTCCTGCCATGTCCAGGGAGGCAGCAAAGGGTGTTCAAGGCCAGGTTGGACACAGGGGCTTGGAGCAAGCTGCTCCAGTGGAAGGGGTCCCTGCCTGTAGCACGAGTTGGAGCTGGGGGAGCTTTAAGGTCCTTTACAACCCAAACCATCCATGGTTCTAGGATTCTAACCAGACAGGTATCAAAAATGAACCACTGTGCACATTGAAGAGCAGGGAAGAGGGATGAGAACAGTATTGCCATCATTGCATACAAACCCCTTGCTGCGCTGTCACTGGCGAAGCATCCCCATCCACAGCTGAGGCTGCCTCTCATGGCTCTGCGATGCTCCGGAGTCACAGCTCTGCCAGCCTGGGAAGAGACTGTAATGCTGATCAATACTTTTGTCATTTGGGAGATTGATTATTCTGATCACTTTGGGAGCCGTGCAGCCAGGCTGCGAACAGAGCTGCTGGTCCACGGGGTGCCAGCCGGGGTGGGATCGCGGTTATCCCATCCCATCATTCAGGAGATGAAACCTCTCCAACGGCCGTGAGTAAAATGTCTTATTGATTCCAAAGTGCTTTGCCTGTTTATAGGAATAACACCTCCAGTGCCCCAGAGGATGGTTTATGCTCTGCCATTCTCCTGTGCCGTTTCCAGTGGTGATACAAGGTCAGAGGCTGAAATGACCCAAACCTGTGCAGGGTAAAAGTGGCCAGGGCTGAGCCTTGGGCTCAACAGCCCTGTGTTGAGAAACTGCCTCTTAACTGGGGCAAGAAACTGCTTTAGCTTCCACATTGAAAAGGGGGTGCTCACCACCCTTCCTTTTACCTGTGTTTAAATAGCCAGGAGACCTTTGGAATGGAAAATTGGGACTTTTTCAGTTTCTAGGAAAGGAGAAACCTCACTTGCCATGGAGAAACAGAATCATCTTCCAGCATGGAATGCCAGGCGGAATTCAGATTTTCTGACTAAAGCAAACAATGACTTTCCTGTTGTTTTTCTTTTCCAAAAGAAAAGGATATTTTGCAAATCCGAAGATTATTCGATAACAGAAGGAGAATTTCCGGCCCTCGCTGGAGGGTGAAGCGGTTCCTGGAGGAGCCCTTGGCTGCCCCAGACCGCGGCCGATGCCTCCCACCAAAAAGGGGTTTTGCAACAATATTATTACACAATAATTTCCTTATCTCTGCTGCTCCTTCAGCACGTGATTTATGGCTCCGGGCCTGCCCAATTAAGCTGTAACCTTTCTGGAAAGGCAAGTGCAGGAGTTAATCAATGTCTCCTTCCCACCCGAGAGATGGCAAAATCATTTGTCATGGCTGGAGGGGGTCCAGCAGTGCCAGGGCGGGGGAACCGCAGCCAGTCCAGCCCCTCGATGGGCTCTGCAGTGCCCCAGGAACGGCTTCTTCCAGAGGAAAAGAGGCAATATCTGATCAATGCAGAAGATGCCAAGAGCTGCCTGGAGGCAGGGATGCGCTGTGGGTCTGGGGAGGGCCCCAGCTCTGGGCACTGTCCCCCTGTTCTAAGGGCGGCTTCCCCCCACAGCACTGAGCAGGCAGCTCTGTCCATCAACCCCCAGCCTGGTTTGGGTTGAAAGGGACCTTAAAGCTCCTCCAGCTCCAACCCCTGCCACAGGCAGGGACCCCTTCCCCTGGAGCAGCTTGCTCCAAGCCCCTGTGTCCAACCTGCCCTTGAGCACTGCCAGGGATGGGGCAGCCACAGCTTCTCTGGGCACCCTGTGCCAGCGCCTCAGCACCCTCCCAGGGAAGAGCTTCTGCCTGAGAGCTCAGCTCAGGCTCCCCTCGGGCAGGTTCAAGCCATTCCCCTTGGCCCGTCCTTACCTGCCATTGTCCAAAGCCCCTCTCCAGGCTTCTTGTAAGCTCTCTTTAGGTACTGGAAGACCACTCTCTTCTGCTTCTTCCTCTTCATCCTCCTCCTCACTGCCAAGTTCCCATCAAGCCCTGCCCTCCAGACTGTGTGGGCAGGAGAGACACCGAGTTATCAACCACAGTGACACGGAGGGAAGGGGAAGAAATGGGCTGGACAAGAGGCCCTGGGGCAGCCATGCTCCCAGCCAGAGCCATGGCCCTGCCCTCATCCCAGGTAAGGAGGCAGGCACAGGTGATGGGAGGCCCAGGAACAACCACAAACAGGACATGAACCCCCTGTCCGGGCCCCCATCAGCTCTGGTGCCAGTGGAGCTGCCACGGGTCCCTTACCGTGATGGCAGCTCCTGGCACGGGCTCAGCTGCAAACAGCCACGGGCGCTGCAAAGCGCAGGATGGAGCCTTGGCCCCGGCGCAGAGGAAACGCCGTCGTGCCTGGATCTGCCCTCCCGGGGGTGACCGGGACACGGGGTTCCAGCAGGTAAACACAGAGGGAGCCCCTGGGGCAAGGCTGAACAACCGCAACGTGAAGCAACATCCTCGGCTTCAGCAGGGGGCTGGAAGCAGCTGCGGGCACAGGTGGCCCAGAGCAGCTCCCTTATCTCCAAGCTCCTGCTCCAACAGAGCCAATCAGGTCTCGCCCATCATCAAGCTGCTGGGAGCTGCGGGGTGGCCGTAAGAAATGAAACCCCAAAGAAAGGAGCAATGCTTTGGAAGTGGGTTTTCTTTGGGAAAACAGGAGGGGTGAAAGGTAACGCCAAAGGGGTGAGCTGGGGGGGCAGATGGTAACTGCAGGGTGCTCCGAGCTGGGCAGGGCCAGCCGGCTGCCCCATCCCGAGGGGCTGCTGGAGAACACCGGTGTGATGGTGCTGCCAGGACAGGCAGGGGATGGGATCACCCCCTGCACGGGGATGTGCATCACTCGCGTGTGAGTCCTGTGGGAATCACAGCTTCAGGCACTGGTATCCGGACCCGTGCGCTCACAGAGGAACCCGTGCACGCACTGCACCATGCTGGGGAGTGCAGACCCCTCTGGCTTCCCTCCCACAACACCCCCCGGAGCCTGTCTGCAGCCGGGCGGTGGAACTGGCACCACGGGAGCAGGGGAGCTGGGTGGGGTGCAGAGAACTGCTGGGAAATGACACCGGGAGACTGGAATTCAGCTCAGGCCAGGTTCAACCCGCTCAGGCTGCCAAGCACCTTACCCCTGCTCACAGCTCCCCTGGCTGGGACACCGGCACGGGACAGGC